TCATATTCCACTGAGAAGTGGTAGTTTGAGGCTGGGGCTTGGAAGGGGTGTTGGGATGCAACGAAGATTCTGTCTTCATTTAGAGAGATGCTCACATGGATTCTTTGGTTCCTCCACCTCAGCCACATTATCATCACTTTGAGGCTGTTTCCTGAATTCAGCAGGCCCAAAGATGTAATTGTAATTTTCATCTAGGTTTGAGGAATTGCATTTGTACTGTGCGACTCAGAAGACAGGAACTGAATAATCATAACTGATAATGCATTCATCACTTAGTTGTTTAGCAAAAGCATCTCTAGTTTTCAAGAGATTATGGCTACTGGGTGCGTCAAGAATTTAAGAAAAGGGAACTGGAAGCTTCTAACGGAGAATTTCTCCAAGGTAACGTAGCTTGTGCTTCTCAGGATAGTTTTTCCCAGTAACAGCCTGACATGAAGTGAAGTATCCTGAACTTAGACTCAAAAGCCCCCTTCTCGAATCTTGGTTCTACATTTACTAAACTTGGGCAATCCAGCCAACTCCTCAGAGCCTCCGTTTCCTCGTTTGTAAAAGAGGGTCTATTTTAACAGTCACTGTATCTTCATTGCAGAATCACTGTGAGGCCAAATGGGAAATGGATGTGAGTACTGTGGGATGCAAAAGTTGAACATGGTTTTTACTGATTGTGTATTGCCTGTCACTAGAGCGAGCAGGGACCTGCCTCTTCCCAGCAGATTAGAGATAGACTGACAAATTCAAAATATTTGATTCTTAGTGTTCTAGGCTCCACGTGAATCAACAACTTGTACGACACTATTATTTGTTCAAATTAATCAGAGCCCAGTTTATTTGTATCAGCAATCAGGATTTGCAACTGGAACCTAAAAGGAGGTGATGGGCAGCCTCTAAGAGGGTCCTGTTTCTGGGTATTCACACCCTTGGGTGTTCCTCGCCCCTTGAGTGTGGGCTGGATTCAGTGACTCACTTCTAAAGAGTAGAATACAATGAACTAGCGGAGTGTGACTTCTGATGTTAAGTTACAAAGATTCGACCTCTGTCTAGGGTGCTTTTGCTTCCATTCTCTCGTGGATCACTCACCCTGGGAGAAGCCAACCTTGAAGTCAAGAGACACTCTATGCGGAAGGAACAAGGCTGCCAACAGCCACGTGAGTGACCCTGGGGTGGAGCCTCTTCCAGTCAAGCCTTGAGAGCACTGCACCTGGCCCACAGCCTCACGGTAACCTCAGGAGACACCTTACCCCAGAGGCACCCAGCGAAGATGAAGCCACATCCCTGACCCACAGAACTGTGAGATAATAAATATTTGTTTTTGTATTTTAAGCTGCTGAAGTTTGGAGTGCTTTGTGACACATTAGATCACAAATATAAAAATTAAAGAGGGCCGGCCCGTGGCTCACTCGGGAGAGTGTGGTGCTGATAACACCAAGGCCACGGGTTCAGATCCTATATAGGGATGGCCGGTTAGCTCCCTTGAGAGCGTGGTGCTGACAACACCAAGTCAAGGGTTAAGATCCCCTCGCCCATCATCTTTTTTAAAAAGAAAAATAAATAAAATTAAATTAAAGAGAAAATACTGCACTATTGTGCTACTTGCAGAACCATGAAAATGCCTGATAGTGCAGCCCTGGAGAGATAATGGGACACGTGAGATTGGAAAGTTATGAGAGAGAGTTAGGGAAAGGCAAAATAGGACCGTACAAGGAATTACAGTCCCCCACCCCCACCTCTTCCTGACTTACAGTATCTAGATTCTAAGCGGAATCTTGATGACAAAGCAGCCCCAGGATCACAAATCAGAGTACAGACCTGTGGGTTTGGAGCCGAAGCAATAGTTTTAACACTGGCATAGTCCACTCCTTTGGCCATTCAACATCCATGCACACCATTTTCCCATATTTAAACTTTCAGTAAAAGCAACATTTTGCTTTTGCCTGAAAATGTTTAACTATTTTTTGCACTTTGTATCCTTCAACAGTCATGGTATCCATCTGTGGGTAATGTTAGTTATATCTCATATTCAGCTAAAACCTCATCTGAATGTTCACCACCAATTGGTATATAAAATAATAAGAAGAAAGAGGAGAAAGAAGAACAAATTAGCTCTCTCTCTCTCTGTCTTTCACACACACACACACATTCTCACACTACAAGCCACCAATTGATCATGAAGCCATAATTTATTCTTCTAACTTTCTTCTTTCACTTTCCATACCATATTTCCTTTGCCTCTGTCTTTTCAGGGTCTTGTTTCTGAACTGGCAGTGTAAATGAGTTGATGTCATAACTGAGGCCAACTGCTCTGGGTGATGAAATGTGGATAAGACTGATCAATTCACCAGTAAATTCATGTCTATACTAGATGTGAGTCCAGTGAGTTCAAATTGCTACCCTGTTCATGATGAAAAAGATCCAATATAATCAACCTGTTTATTAGGTGGCTAGCTAATTCCCCAGAAGAGAGGTGTCATGTTGGGGTTCAGAATGGGTCTCTGCTGATGGAAGATTGGCCACTCATTGGTAGTAGTAATTAGGTCAGCATGGTGAGAATAAATCCATGTTGGTATGCATATGCGTAACCTCTGTCCCTATCACCATAACCACTTTGTTCATAGTCCATCGAACAAGTACAAGAGTTGTTGGCCACAGAACCTGATGTTCTATGGAATGTTAAGATGATTAAGATCTCTGTAAACTATATAATGGAGCAGAAGAAATGATGCAGTCTGGAGATAAAATTGTTAAGGTGCACTGTTGTCTCAGGAAGGTAAGTAACATGCTTTTAGTGGTCTTTACAAGTATTGCTTGTGAAGTAATTTTACTTTTACTGTCCTGGTAGGGAACAGAATTTCCCAGGCTTCCACTTGTTCTTTCTACCATAACAAAACTCACTCTACAGTTCATAGAGCCAGTATGGGGTTTCTACCTGTTTCTGAGTACATTTATTCTGAATATAAGTTAAGGATCTGGGAAATAACCACACGGTTGGTCTAAAGACCTATTTGGATCACTGTGATTTGAACTTGGTGTGAGAAAAACAGAGTAGTTTAGTCAGGCCCCCTCACCTCAGGTCCAGTTGGGGGCAGTGCAGCACATTCTTTGTAAACAAGTTGTATGGGGTGGAGTTAGTGCCCACGTTCATCCGGGTACTTTTAGCTTGTTGCTATTCTTCTGTGTTCTTCAGTGTGTGAAGCAGCAGCTAGGCAGAGCTCGTGTCTACAAATAGAGCATGTTTACTTTGCTGGCAGCTACTCAGTTTTTTCTTTGGACTTTGCCGACAGCTGCTCAGTTTCTCTTTGGACTGCCTTAGATGTGTGTGTGCTGAATAAAGACTATTCTTTCTTTGACCAAGGCTCCAATGGCCTTTTCCTGTTACCTAGCTCATAGACCTGCCTGTGAAGGGTTGTGAATGGGCTTGAGGGATCCGTGAGACCCAGCCCTAGCTCTACACTTGGGCACACTACCCGTCTCCTCACCACCATAAGCCCCCACTTTGGTGGACCACAATGGTGTTTGGGGTCACAAGGAATTAGTATCAATTTAGAGCCACTGTCCAGAGAAAATGAAGACCATTTACATTCACATGGCTTAATTATCACGACTCAAAACTAAGGCCCCTACATCAGCAAGACTTTACTATTTCTTCCAGGAAATTCTTGCCCACAAAGATAGGACTGTAGTAAACCAGAGCATAGCTTTGTTGTCAGCTTTATCTGAGGAATTGACTTTTCAATCATCACCCTTTCCAGGGCAACAGGTGAGTCAATTGGCCAAATCCAGCTGCTTATGAAACAACTATTTTCTCTTCAAGACTCCTCCACAACTCATGGTCACTGTGCCCACCAATCCTGTTATGTCATGAATTTAATTTTTTTTTTTTGGAGTCTGACTGGTACAGGGATCAAACCCCGGACCTTAGTGTTATTAGTGCCATGATCTAACCAACTGAACTAACTGGCCAGCCCCTATATCACAAATTTTGTCCCATTCCAATTGACCCCTGCATTGCAAAAGCCACTTTAAACTACTCAAATTCAGATCCTAAAACTTTGTACACATCTATCCTTGATCTTCCCCTTCTGGAACTACCAAGATTCTGTCAAGGTTGTGTTTACCTTTACTACATAAGTAATAAACTTGGCTTTGTTTGATCATCAGGTTATTCCAGTGGTCTTTTGGGGGAAGTCAATAATCTGTACTTTTAATTTCTAAAAGGTTTGGGTATTTCCTTTTTTCCTATGCATGATCACTCAAGGAAATGGCAACAGATTCTTTTGAGTGAAGGTTGAGAAGAAGACATGTATTTGTGGTAATGTTGTAGGTCCCTTAAGGGGACCCAATTTAATTAGGAGGTTCCAGGTGTGTGAAGTGGCTTAGGTCTGGAAACTAGGTAAGAGGCCATGACTTGCCCTTATAATGACTTACACCAGATTTTCAGATCTAGACCTTGCCTTTTTCCTAATATATGGATCAAGGCTGCTCATTTTATTCTGAGGGACACGTATCAATTAGCTACTAACAAAGATTCTCAAGATCAAATCATTGTATTGACCAGTCATCCCCACTTTACATTATAACAATTGAATCCACCTTACCTCTGACAGTTCATCACGGTCACCTGGCCTCTGTTACCACAATAATCCATAATTCTCATTGAAATTAGGAAGGCCCCTCTTAGTGGCAGCACTTTGCACCTTCATACTTGGCCTACAGAAAACGGCCACCAAAGAGTTTTTAAAGGAAGCTGGTTCCCTGTCACTAATGTATTTCTCAGTTCCTCAGGGAAGATTTGGGTCCTTACAGGAAATGTGGTGGGGGTTGAATGGGTGTGTGGGTTGCATATCATAAAAATATTTCAAAATTTCTACCTCTCTAACACTTTGAATTTCTTTCTCTCATAATCACAGGGAAATTTTAGCTTCAAAAGTTCATTGAGTATAGACCCAGTTGAATCCAAATTTCAGTCAACTGACCAAGCAAACTCTTAGAGAGAACCCAGCCACTTGAGCTTACAAATTAAATCCAGACCCCTATCAATAAATTCATAGTTACATACTGTCTTCCTTGGTTTTACACTCTTAGAATACTTTCCCATGATAAATATATTTTCCATATTTTTTTTGCAATAATACTTTAGCAAAATCTTGTGATCCTTTTGAAGTATAAGCAGTTTTGTTCCTTTGGAACATGTTGAGATCCAACACTAGTTAGGAGTCCAGACGCAACCAAGAAATGGTCTGGGTGGATCTAGAAAACAGGCATTCCCGTACAAGACAACTGATCTGGCTGAGCTTATTACAGGATCTTCTCAAAAGTTTCAATTCTTTCCTGTATTTGTCCACATAAGTTCTACCTTTGTCTCTTGTCCCCCCTTTTTAAAGAATGGATGTGAAACATGTAACATAGTGAACATTTCAGTGGCATTTAGTACATCCACAAGGATGTGCAACCACCACCTCTATCTACTACTGAAATATTTCTGTCATCCCCGAAGGAAACCCCACAGCCATTAAGCAGTGACTTTCCATTCCCTAATCCCCTTAGCCTTTGGCAACCACAACCTGTTTTCCATCTCTGCATATTTACCTATTCTGGATATTTTATATAAATGGAATCATACAGTATGTTACTTTTTGTATCTGCCTTCTTTCTAGTAGCATAATGTTCTCAAGGTTTATTCACATTTAGCATGTATTAGCACTTCATTCCTTTTTTGTCTGAGTAACATTCCATTGTACGTACATACCACAATTTGTTTATTCATTCACCTGTTGATGGATATCGGGTTGTTTCCACCTTTTGGCTGTTCTGAATAGTGCTGCTATACAGTATTTATTTTAGTACCTGTTTTCAATTATTTTGAGAGTAGAATTGTTGGGTCATTATGGTCATATGGTAATTCTATGTTTAACTTTTCAAGAAACCATCAAACTTTTTCCATAGTGGCTGCACCATTTTACACTCTCGCCAGCCATGTATGAGGTTCCAATTTCTCCACATCCTTGCTACCAGTTGTTAATTTCCATTTTTGACTATAGAAATCCTAGAGAGTATGAAGTGCTATCTCATTGTGGTTTTGATTTGAATTTTCTTAGTGACAAATGATGTTAAGCATCTTTTCATGTGCTTCTTGGCCATTTGTACATCTTCTTTGGAGAAATGTTTGTTCAAGGTTTTGCCCAATTTTTAAATTGTTTTTTTTTTTCTATTTAGTGAGTTGTAGGAGAGTTCTTTTTTTTTTTTTTTTTTTTTTTAAAGACCAGTAAGGGGATCTTAACCCTTGACTTGGTGTTGTCAGCACCACGCTCTCCCCAATGAGCTAA